AGAGATTGGGTGGCACTGTCAAGACCAGTACATTCAAAGTGGGTCCAACTGCTACAGTCACTACAACCCACGAATTCATCACCTTCCACTTCCTGCTTGTTACACACGACACATTTTGTGACTGTTTCTTCACACAGTACGATCTGGGGGCGGTCGGTTTTGTTCGTGATGACTTTCTCTTGGTAGTCGCACTTTTCAGCAATGTCTGACAAGACCATATCTTGCAGTATGTTGTAGTGGGAAACTAGCCATAAGATGTAGCCCGTGCCCTGTATGAGAAGCTTGCATGTGTCGTAGATAGTGATGTGCAGGGAACCGATCTCGGTTCCAAGCCGTAGATCGGCGTCGGTGAACGTAGTACTAAACTGGACACCGTTGGTTCCTCTGTCAGTGCCTTTAACTCCATAGTAAGCCTCACACACGACCTTCCATGATGAGACAGAATCCTCAGGAATGTGTACTGTCAGACAGGAAGTGTTGTGGGTTACGGAGTAACGTTCTAGGTCACGTAGGTAGTCTGGAGTTTTGTGCCGATGGTTCTCGAGGTAGGAGAGAAAGTCGATGCTCACCTTTTTGAACTGGTCACCGGTCTTGGAAAACTTGTAAGTTCTCCTCTCAGCGGGCTTCAGCTTCTTCACAAACTCGCGTTCCTGGTGATACTCCTGGATGAACGTGGTGTATGATCCAAGCGCGTCGGAGTATGTCGCCGATTCCGTTAGCTGCAGCGTGTCCAGGGCTCCATTGTTCTCCTGTAGGGAGTGGGACGCGGCGGTCGCCATCTTGGACGCTTGTTGTGCTCTCGACGATGTGTCAAACTAACAAGTAACGAAAACTAGACGAAAACTACGGAATACGTGCTAAAACGTTCTGAACTAGATCAGAAGTACTTTATAAACAGAATAGGCTCAAAGTTCAAACTCAATTGGACCTCTGAAGGCCAAAAAAATTACATTGTTTGGGAGCTCAGAAGTCGCGCGTCCTTTCCAAAAGTCACGTGACTTGAAGATAACATTCGTCCAAGACTGCTGATAATCTACTGCTGGGTGTTTTGGTACCTGTATTTGCTGAAGTCACGGTGTGAAGTCCTCACTACGATGTCTTGAAGCACAGTAGCTCACCTGAAGAAAGCAGAGTCCCACCTGGCCGCAGGTGGGCGACAACCGGAAATCCCCAGGTGTAAACAGGTACTACCTGTGACCTGTTGTCCCGCGCAGGGGCTTCTGGGAAGGGGGATTCCCCTGGACGATTCCATGTCGGTCAGAGGGGGAGACGAAGTTAATGAAACTGGCCAACCTTCCACCCAAATAAAACCTCTGCTTGCAGAATAAGTCAGTTCTACAATACTGTGTGGTCAGACTAGCAGACACTAATCGAAATCGAGAGGAATAGACCATATCCACTAACTTCACGGCCGGCCTAAAAAAATGGGACTACCTTTACCTGTTACCTCTTACAGTACTTAACATCGCCCACGCCGTCTTAAGAAAGGGGAACGGAAACTCGCCCACCTGCTGGCGGAGAGTTTCTATCGATATTCCTCTTTTACACCTGTTAAGTAAACTCCTATTTCAATGATGTCATCTTTGGTCACATTGAGTTGGCCTGATACTGCAAAGTAACAGCTTGAAAACCATGCTACGGGATGAGACGATTCCATCCCTTGAACCAAAACATTTTTTGTAAAGTAGACATAACACCTGATCAAAACAGGTTGGTTGGTGACCACTCTACCTTTCATCAGTGACAGCACTGGAGGCCCTCTGAAACGTCTGACCTTTTCCAAAATCATATCTAGTTGCTTGAGTCCATAATATTTTGTTTTCATTGTAAAGTAAACGTTACTAATGCTAATACACCTTAGTCTATAAAGGAAAACGAAATTTATCACAGATAACTGCTTCATTACACCCCGGGGGGTGGCAAAATAGAACAGTTTGACAATTCTGACAACTTTCCTTAAAAAACAGTTCAACCACCTGTTTCCTAACAATGGTACAGTCCAGTAATGGCGGAACATTAACCGTGACGTCATTTTTGTCATCAACGATTTAGAAATGCCTACTAAACTTTATAACTTCTTAAACTTGGCTTCTAGAAAATTTAAAAAGGTACTAAAACATTTTCTTTAATGTTAGACTTAGAGTTTGTGCCTGGAGTTGAAATCCCCTATAAATGTTTGGAATAGTCCGAGCATGTCAAAGGTCAACATGTGAACAACAGTCATATGACTGATCCGACCAGTGTAAAACAGACGTTTGTGGCCGTTTCGGGAAAAAAACAAGTCTTTATTTTCAGGAATAGACGCACGAAAAGCAGCCTTACAGGTCTAGGTAAGTTTGCTAGGTTAAATTTCTGTCCAGTACTGTTTTTTCGCTTCCAAATCGGACAGTTTTTGAGGCGAGCTTGGAGAAAATTCCGCCCCCTCCCCCTTGTAACATCCGGTTTCATCGAGCGAGGGAAGGAAGAAAGTGGAAGAAGAAGTGACTGTTGTCGTTACGTGTTTCACAATCTCTTTTGAAAAACATAACATATATCTTTACAGATATTGTCTTGTACTTTCCGTTGTGTTTGAGTTGTAGAACGAGCTGTGATATGTGTATTTGTGTACATCATGTTGCTGTATTATGTAAGTGTGGAAAAATGCATGGCAACTGGCTGTACACATGTATAAACTTTGAAGCGTCGAACCTACTCACTTTGGGCACCTTGTAGATGGGAGGTCCCTTTTTTGAGGAGAACCCCACATTGAACCTGAGGTTTAAGATCTCACTGCCCTTATGAAAAGAGAAAGGGATAGTAGGGATCCTTCCTGGTGTGAGTGGATCTAACCTTATCAGTTAGATGACACTTATTCTGTACTTCCTGTGCAAAACTGCAGTGTTGTGCCTAAAGGTAGTTTACTGGTTATGCAAAACAATCAGTAGGGACATAAGATAGCTTTAAGGAATGTTTAAAGTTAGATGTTCAAAGGTTATTAATTAGGTGTAACAAGTTGATCAGGGTAATGCAGCCAACTGCTGCCGCGCCGCGTGCCTGCGAAGCTGGTGTGTTACACCCAAGGGTGGTTATACCAGCTATACAGATACAGAAGCTGGTGTGTTACGCCAAAGGGCGGTTATACCGGCTATACAGATACAGAAGCTGGTGTGTTACGCCGAAAGGAGATTATACTGGCTATACAGATACAGATTCAAATACAAAACAAACAAACAAATGTGGTTGAATGTATATCATTACAGAAGCATGTCTGTAACGCGGGAACTCCTTGCGCTGTGGTGCGTCGTGTTTGTCAGCGCGTGTTTCGCCTCGCTCTCCCGTATCCACGTCCACCCCAACAACCACTGGCTCCTGGACCGCTCCGGCCGCGTCCGCATCTTTCACGGCATCAACGCCATCCAGAAGGGGTTTCCATGGTAATGATATATTTATGGAATTTTATGACACGATGTGCAATGTATATTATTAAATGTTTGTCGGAGGAAAACATATTGTTTTTACTCAGTTTCTTCCTCCTCTTCTGTTCCAAACACTAACCTCTGACCTGGTCAATGACATGATTTGTTGACGTCTGTCACCATGGTGACTGGTGTTGGCTTACACAATGTTGCAATTTCATGGTCTGCTCTGCTCCTATCACATACTAGTATACTAGTAGTATACTAGTATGTATACTAGTAGTACATATATGTGAATGTGTTTGAGTAAAAATTAACAGAGCACACCATATGCGAAGGTTAACATTATGCATTTACTTTGCAAATGTTACTTCTCTAGTTACTTAATATTACCTCTGCCCTAGAGGAAGCTATGTTCTTAGTGCCATAGTCTGTGTTGGTGTCATTGAATCAATTATATACTGTATTCCTTGTTTTCATCCATTCATTCTCCTGTTCAGGTACGCAGCTCCACTGCTGAACCAGTCCCAGGTATCCTGTAGTACCAACAGGGGTTGCTAGGTGGTGCTTTAATCTCTTTATCTCCTGTTCAGGTACCCAGCTCCGATGCTGAACCAGTCCAGACTGGATGAGCTGCAGAGTTGGGGGTTCAATGCTGTCAGACTGGGGATGATGTGGGCAGGAGCTGAACCACAGGAGGGGAGGTTTGTTTGTTTATTTTGGTCTTCTGATAAAGTATTTTAGCTCAAGAGTGCATTTGTGCTGGTACAATTTATAAAAGTAGGTTTATAGATGTGAGGTTCAATGCAAAAAAATGGGTGCTGTGCTGTCAAAAAGTCAACTTTTTATCAATTTTTTCCTTGAAATTGTGAATTTTTCATTTGTTTCTCCACTCCTCCCTCCCACCAGGTACAACCATACCTACATGTCCACCATGCATAACATCACTGCCGAGCTGAGCAGACGCGGTATCTACACCATTCTAGACATGCACCAGGACGGGCTAAACTCACTGTACGACGGAGTCCCGCCGTGGCTCGTGGCGAGTTTCCCGCCGCCGGAACACCCTTACCCCTGGCCGCTGAAAAACATCACGTCTTGGGACCAGGCGTACTTAACACAGCAGTGCAGCCACAACTTCCAGGTTTGCTCTGATTTGATTAGATTTGATTTATTGAAATTGCAACAGTGCAACAGTGCAATGTCCCGCACATAGAAACGAATACTGGACAGACAATACAATTTTCACTTGAGTCTAGCGGGGAAAGTCATGTTAGGTGCTCTGTTTTGTTTTGTTTTGTTTGAAGATTTGTCATTCATTCCTTTAAATTCTTTAGTATATGGAGCCTACCACCAGGATTTTGAAAACCCCAGACCTAGAGGAAGACCCCCAAAAGATGGCGGGACCAAATAGTTAGTGATACTACATGGTCCCTCAAGATTGCAGAACAAAATTTAAAGGCTAAGGACCGTGCTGCCTGGAGGAAAAATGAAAAGCAGCAATGGCCAATTCTGGCCTAAGCATTTAGGCAGGTTAATTCCAGGGGAGAACCGGATAACCCAACATTCATATCTACAAGAAAAATGCTCACTTTACATTGCAAAATACAGTTATATGTACTCAATCTTATCTTGTCCTCGCGAACAAAGATCAGGAAGGTTTTTCACGCTGGCATGACCTCTGGTGGCTGAATAGGCCGATAGTACTCAATATACTAAATGAAACATATGCTGTAGTATGCACGCAGAGTCTTTATATTTCCCTCTCCCTTCCAGTGTCTTTACGACAACTACAAGGGCGCTGCGGACAAGATGGCCAGGTTTTGGAAGTTCGTCGCGACGGAGTTCAGGACCCAGACTTCGGTGCTGGGATACGAGCTTCTGAACGAACCCTGGGTCGGTGATTGGACCGCGGACCCCGAACTGTTCCTCCCAGGGCATGCTGGGAAGACTAACGTCTCTCCTCTGCACGATCGCGTAACCCGATCCGTCCGGACGGCGGACGACGAAACGCTGGTTTTCTACGAGCCGGTGACTTGGGGGTACATCTTCGCGGAAGATGGCGCGCTGGGGTCGGGTTTTGCCCACGTGCCGGGCGGGTCCGCGTACCGAAACCGCAGCGTCCTGTCCTACCACTACTACTGCTGGCTCTTCCAGGAGGGACAGCCGTACCCGCCGTACAGGAAAATCTTCTGCGACGAAATCCTCGGGCCCAAGCTGTTCTCGGCCGTACAGGAAGACTTGAAGACGCTCGGTGGGGGGTCTTTTCTGACGGAGTTTGGCCTGTGCAGGCCGAACGCGAGTGATCCGAGCTTCTCCGACACGGTGGAGTGCAGGTTCGTGTTGGAGAAAGCGGACAGCTTGCTGCAGTCGTGGACGTACTGGGACGCGTCCCCGGGAAGCAGTGTGTTGTGGGACGCCACCGGCCGCGCCATCCCAGAACGCGTCAGCATGTTCGCCCGACCGTACACGCGCGCAGTGGCGGGGGTTCCCACGGCGATGACCTTCGACCTCAACACCCGCCATTTTGAACTGACCTTCGCCTCGAATCCCGCCATCGAGGACCCTACGGAGATTTTTGTACCCAGGCTTCATTACGCGGAAGGGTACACGGTAATGAGCTCTGCAGAGCTGGAATGTGAAGTAGATAAGAAGGATCACAGCCTTCTCTATGTCAGGCCTAAACAGACCAATGACGTGAGAACGTTTCCGACTGTCACCGTCGTGCCTTCTTCTCACGTCAACAGCATCTCAGGAAACATCTGTCTCAAGGTCAACTGGTAGAAACGACCTTGCTCAAGGTCACCTGGTAGAAACGACTTTGGACACAACCCGCTCAGGAATTGTTATGAAGCAAGTTTAAACTGTAATTTCCAGCACAACAAATTGGACTCAAACAAATTTTTGACTGTACAACTCCAGTTTTTGTCAAGGAATGAGCAATCCACCACTTCCTTGACAAAGACTGGAGTTGTACAGTCGAAAATTTGGGTGAGTCTAATTTGTTGTGCTGGAAATTACAGTTTAAACTTGCTTCATAATGATTTCTACCAACACAGATGAACTTTCAAGATAAGCTCAGGAATTGGTTGGTTTATTAAGATGCCCTGTAGCCCCATGAGGGACTAATCTTCCAGGGCTCAGCATCAGACAACATATGTACATGAAACATGTATTACATGCTAGAGTTGTTCTTAAAATATTGTTTGCCTGTATTTGGAAGATTTTAATATTTATCAAAGAATCAAGAACCAAGATGTACAACTTTGTAATGATGATGTGTATATATGAGAAAAATTATTATTAAGAAGGCTGTACATTTTATGATATTAATGATGAAGTGCTGTAAAGAATCGAATGTAGAATATTTTTTCATCTTAAGATTGATGATAATGTAACTAATTCCAGGGGATATGATTATGATACAGAAAATTGAATGTTCCTTGAAACGTGAAGTTTTGCAAGGAATTGTTGAAATACAGAGCTTTTACTCACAGAATAACTTTTGTTTACCTTTTATCTTTGAAGATGTCCACTGTATAAAAGTCTCGTAAAATGCTCACAAGCAGACATTGAAAGTGTTTCTTTATCAACAATGAACATAGTTGTAAAACTAAGTCAGTGCTTGAGTGCCCCATCTGATATCCACATATGGTTTACCCCCTGCCTTATGCTCCCCCCCCATTTGATAACCAAAATGGTTAATCCCTTGCCCTAGCACCCCATCTGATAACCACAATGGTAAACTGCCAGTGTCTTAGCCAACCCCCCAACTCACCCACCCACTATTCGATAACCACAACGGTTAACGTTGCCCTGCCTTACACCTGTCGGCTCCATGGTTGTGCTTCTAACACTCAGGTCATCTTTAGTCACACCTGAGCTGGAGAGGAGCCAAACGTCCGCAAGGTCGTTCAGTGTCAGGTGTCACTCAGAGCCATTCAAGGTGTGACGCAGGTGTTTTAGTTTTAAATTACTTCCTCCAAGATGGCGAGTGTGTTACTGCTCGCTGCCTTCCTTCTGTGCAGCAGTTTCCCTGTCGGCGCCCAGGACACCAGGACCTACTGTCCCGGGTCCTGCCTGCGGGGGTATGTAGACAAGGGCTGCTGTGCCTACACCTATGTGGTTCCGCCCGGGTCCCGTACAGGGGGCTGTGCACCGCCGGTCCAGCTCGCCGAGACCAAGGAGGAAACGGGCAGCATGAAAAATCAAGTGGATCGTCTTTTGTCTCTGGTGGAAACCTTGCTGAGCCAGCAGTCCAACCTCACACTGGAGCTACAAGATCAGAAAATCAGTCACCAAGCCCAGATAGATGGTCTGGCCCAGAAGCTGTGCGAAGAAAAAGCCAAAAGTGCACAGCTGGAACAGAACCTGACACAAGAGCCGCAAGAACAAGAGACCAGGGTACAGAACCTGACACGGGACCTACAAGAACAAGAAAACCGCCTGACAGAGAAGGTACAAGAACAAGAGGCTCGTCTCCAAGCCCAGGTACAGAACCTATCTGATGAACTGTCGGAGGAACGAGCCAGGAGTGCACAGCTGGAACAGAACCTGACACAAGCATGGCTTCAACAGGAGGCAAAGGTTACTGGCCTGCTGGACGGTTTTTCTGCCCAACTGTCGGAGGAGAGAGACAAGAACAGGGAACTGGCCCTAAACTTGACCCAAGCACTGATCCAACTGGACAACATGACATCAACCAAGGTAGGTGACAAACGGTTTAGGTCTCATCCCTCAATCCATGATGCTCTGATAGTTTCACAGCATTTTTTCCTAACCTAAAGTTGACTTTCCCTCTTTGCATTAGAACACAATACCCTGGGAATGTTTATCTTGATAATCTAAGCCGAAAACGAGAACAAAGAGTTTACAAAAGCAATTGTTTCGTAGCCAATAACTTGTATAGTGCATAACAGAGAATATTTGGAGTTGAAATGTAGCCTAGTCCAAGCAGCATTTGAATTGAATAAGTTCACTCTCGGTCAAATATGGAACTATTCACTATTCATGAATCTCACCTTTCATTGACAACAATCGCCATGCCTGCCTTGTAACACAGTAGCTGGCCCAGCGGTGAAAACGATACTATTAATGACTTTTGTTTATTATGGACTGATCCATGAACAGCACCTGTGGCAAGACAATTTGATGGGTAGTTGTTAAGCACAACTGTCCAACAACATAACATCGCACATTAAGGTTCGCAGTAAGATTCACGGTCAAAATCAGATCTATACTGAACACACAACAATCCCCGAGCATACGTAAAGCATACCTGCCCGACAAAACCGTATTCCTTGAGATTCACAATGGTTCAATATCAGAATTCAGTATCAGGTATCTCACATGCACTGAGCCCTCAACAATCCCCTGGTATACGGTTGCCTACTAACACCACCATCACACCACAAAGCTCTGCAGAAGTCTAATGACCTTGGGCTACCTTCGATCAACAACTGTGGTCACGTGGCTGAAGTAGTGGGTCATTCATACTGCACAAGGCCGCAGAAACAAACTAACTCTTGTCGAATCGATTGCTTACTGCATCACAACAAAGTCATAGTAACATATAGCTTTTCTCACCCTGCCTGTCAGTGCCCCTGTGAGAGACCAGGCGAAAACGTCTCCCCAACCATGACGACATCCCCCACACAGCCAGTATCCACGACTATGGTCTCAGCAAGTGCAGAGACTGCGTCAAATTATCCAGTGGTCTCGAGAAGTAAGGTCATGAGTCCTGCTGAACCAGGGTCAACTTCTCACGGCGCTGCAAATACGGCTACTGAAGTAACTATTGCTGCACCGTCATCTTTCACAACCGAATCTACAAGCTCTGGAACGGGTAAGAAACTCCAGTATTACAGCTGGAGGCTCCATTTGATCCACTTTATATTCATAGATTGATGTAGACTGTACTTATGATTTAGCAGTTACAACTTTCAGTCGAATCATAATAGAAATCAAGGGCTACTCTGTAACTTTAGGTAGTCGCTGATGTAGTTGACCTGCTGCTTTGACGAACATCATACGGAAGTTTACAAATATTTTTAGATTATCTCTGAAAATCTAACAAATTTAACGGTTAACCTTTGCAGGTTTCCAGGTCCGTCTTGCGGGCGGCCCCACCCCGCTTGCAGGCCGAGTGGAGGTGCGGAACGGGACCGGCCCGTGGGGTTCCGTCTGTGATGACCGGTGGGACCTGCAGGACGCGCGCGTTGTCTGCAGGCAGCTCGGCTTCGGGACGGCCCTGGAGGCGAAACTGGCGGGCCATTTTGGGGAGGGTTCCGGGAGCGTCTGGCTGGACGAGGTGGCCTGTGGAGGGGACGAGACGAACCTGGGAGACTGTCCTGCTGAGCCCTGGGGACGGAATGACTGTTCACAAAAGGAGGACGCAGGGGTCGTCTGTGGAGGTACATGCTAACTCTTGTCCCCAAGAAGCCTTTTTGGAACTGCAGGCACCGGTTTTGTTTAATACTTTGAAAGAGAATAACTAAAGAAAGGCTTGACATATTCCTGTTTTTTTTGTTTCAAGGTAGCTTGTGTTGATTGGAAGCTAGGTAAAGGTGGCAGAGAGCTTTAGGTGTTATTAAAGACTGGTATACTTTGAACAACTTGTGTTATTTGGGTAGACATGATCATCAGCCTACATAATATATGCAAATTAAGACCTTGTTCGCATAGTGATGAAGTAGTGGAAGCTTCCTGCCCGATGTGGTACAGGAGGAACTAAGGTCTAAGGTAAGGTCGCATATTAATTCATCAATTTCAACATCACTAATAGTTTGGGGTCGTTTAACTAGTTTCAATAGTATTTCAGAAACCAACAGTTTAAAACGTTAATTTCTGTGTGTGTACAAGGTAAGATGGCTGTCCGGTTGGCTGGCGGTCACGTGCCCTGGGAAGGACGAGTGGAGATCCGTCCGGGAGACAAGTCGGAGTGGCGTGCCGTGTGCAACACCAGCTGGACCGAGGCAGAGACTCGTGTCGTGTGCAGAACGCTGAGGTATACCGGAGGCGTGAGTTCAGCTCCTACAGACATCCCTACAGGTACAGGCCGGACCTGGCTGGGTCACCTCACCTGCAGTGGGACTGAGCCTGACATCGCGTCCTGCTCATTTGGCTGGGACTCCTCCGGCTGCCGAGGACATGGGCAGAACGTACAGGTCGTCTGCACAGGTTGGTGCTCACAAGTTTCCTATTCACTTGCAGAACCCAGCAACCCTAGCCTAGAACTAAACCAAACAAAAAAAGATAAATTTATCGCATTCTATTAGATCTCTACATCTCAATCTCTACATCTCTATCTCTGCAT